TTTTACCAATTACAAATGGCTTAAATTTTTGCGATCCTGATGCATTACAGCAGAGAAGTATAGTAAGACGTGACTTGTTCTTCTTAAATCCCTTAGCAGCATCACTTTTAGATGCAAGCGTTTTATTCAGCCCAAGACGAAAAAAAAGTCCTGTCTCATCTGCATTAAGGATATTATCAGGATGATAATTTTTAAGTAATTCCTGAAAACGACATCATCCACTTTCAATTGCAACTTGATCAGCCGATGCACTTTCTCCAGATATAGTTTTTGAACTAATATCAAATCGTCGCTGAAATCTATATACCCAGCCATTAGATGCCTCAAATGTAGTTGGGAATTCTACGCCACTATTTTTTAACTGTTCATATATTGAAAGTGCTTTTGTTTTAAGCATATCTTGTGAAACAGGAATATTTTGAGAACGAAGTTCTAAGAACAACTTATACACTGCCTCATCGATAATATGAAACTGTATCTTTTGTAAGTGAACACGTTGTTGTATATGAGAAGGTGTAGTATCATATAACTGAAAATATTTGTTCTTATCTCGCAAAATATTGCTTATTGTGGATCTATCAACTTGGTATTGTTTTGCCAAATCTTGATGGCTTAGTTTTGTATTTTCATCTTTCTTTCTAATAATCTCAACCTTTTTCTCTAAAGTAAGAGTGGACCTTTCTTTTTGTTTTTTACTAAACTCTGTAACAGACATCTTGTAATAGACTAAAAATGCTAATGGATAGGTATAAATCTCTTCTTTTTTTTTTTTAAATATAAGATTCTGATACCGTAATAAGATCTTTTACATTATTGTTATTTAATTATGAATCATATTAATTTTCACTCAATAATTAATACGAATTAGGAATGTCAATTTAAGAGCAAGACAGGATATTTTTTAAATAGAAAATAATTGATTCCTAGATAAGATTTAGACATTTACTCAAATTCGATAGATTGATTGTTTATTCTAATTTCAATATGAGCCTTTAAGTAATCACTTTATACTTGCAACCTTCAAGATTCATCATTTCACATGTGGTCATTATTGTCTTATCTAAATTTGCATAATGATTTTTTTTTTTT